GTTGGCACTGGATCATATGTAATCAACCAAATTACAGCCATACTTGTGTTTGATCTCCATGCCATTAGCACATCCAATCATTTAAATACATTATCCAGCCTCCATGATTTGGGTCCTTCTTGTATCAATACGAGCACCATTGTTCTCCATCACAAACCACTTCACTCGTCCACCCCTGTCCGTATAAAAAAGGGAATTCATAAAAAACAACAAAGTAAACCCCTAAGGATTCTAAATATATACTTCCAATCTATTCGAAATAAGCAACACCTCCTCGGCAACATGCTAGATAGCTCCATGCCAGAATTTGTAATTGGCACCGAGACCTGGCTCAACCCAAATATTAAAAATGCCAAAATAATTCCTTTGAGTTACAACATTTTCCGAAACGACCGTAAAAAGTGTGACACCAACAACGATGGTGAAAATGTACTCATCGCAATAAGGGAAGACCTTATTAGTGATGAGGTACACAATCTCACGCCCAATACCCCATGCGAAATGGTATGGGCTAAGATTAAGGTAGTCGAGAGTAGAACTCTTCACATCAGTTCTATCTACCACCCAAAAACCTCTGACAAAGAGAGCATGCAATCTTTTATATATTTAATGTATGAGGCCTCTAAAATGAAATATGCAGCCCTTATAATAGGTGGAGACTTCAACCTTCCCGGCTGGGACTGGAAGAACAAAGTTCTGAAACCCAAAACAAGAGATACCAAAATCCATTATGACTTTTCAAACCTACTGGACGACACTGGTCTAACCCAAATTGTCGAAGAACCGACCCGAAATGACAATGTCTTGGATTTGGTCATAACAAATTCTCCAAACCAAGTGGTCTGTACTGAATTCATTCCAGGCCTATCTGACCATAACATCGTTTTTATTGAACTTAACCTTACACCCACAAAACCTACCATAAAATCTCATCTAGGCAATGTGTATAACTATATGTTAACAAACAACGAGTGGGACGCAAGTTCAATGTGGGAATAGTATAAAACTGAACTCACAAAACTTGTCAAAGAACACATCCCTCAGAAAACTATTAAACCAAAAACTAGCCTATCATGGGTTACCCCCGAAATAAAAAAAGCTCATAAGAAAACGTGATAGGCTATACATAAAATCTTAAAGAAATCTGGGGATTCTTAATTAAAATCAAAATTTAAAAACATCAGACATCTAGTCAAAAAGAAACTCCGCACGTCTTACTCGGATCATATTGAAGATATAATAAATCCCAAAAGTCCAAATACTTATAACAAATACTCTGGTATGAAACTATTCTGATCTTACATTAAAGCCAAACGATCCGATCACTGCGGCATTGCCCCACTAATGCAAGAGGGCAAATACATACATAATCCTGTTGACAAAGCGCAAGTACTCAACGCACAGTTTCAATTTGTTTTTACTCTACCTGAAACCCTCAATGATCGCCAGTTTACTATCAGATGTTACATGCCTCTTGACCATCAATTTCCAACCCATGCCTGATATTGAGATCCATGAAAATGGTATATTAAAACTTCTCAAAGGTTTAAATCAGCATAAGGCTGCAGGACCAGATGACATAAAACGGTACTGAAAGAACTTGCTAACGAAGTAGATCCCGTTCTATCACTAATATTTAGCAAGTCCTTGGCTACAGGTCTAGTCCCCATTGATTGGAAATTGGCAAATATATCCCCCATTCATAAAAAAAGGACAGAAATTTAATCCAGAAAATTATAGACTAATTTCACTGACATGCATTTGCATTAAAATAATGGAGCACATCGTCGTTTCTAACATCATGACGCATGCTGATACAAACATATCTTGTTTCCGTTCCAACATGGCTTTCGCAAATTTCGATCGTGCGAAACACAGTTGATCGAATTCATCGATGATATATCCAGAAGCCTTGACGAAGGAAGCCAAACTGATATTATCAAAATGGACTTCGCCAATGCTTTCGACAAAGTCAGCCATTCCCTACTCATCCACAAACTAAAGTACTATGGTGTAAAAGGAAAGGAAGTAAACTGGATTGAGAATTTCCTTCTTGGCAGAAAGCAATCTAGTTGGGGAGGGGGAAATGTCTGACTTCGTCAACGTCCATTATGGTGTGTCCCAGGGATCGGTCATCGGACCAAGTTTATTTCTTTATTTCATTAACGACATCGCTGGGGGCCTAAACGCTACCATTCGCTTTTTCGCAGACCACACTATCGCTTATCTAGTTGTCAAGTCTAACAGGGATGCTGAAACTCTACAGCAAGACTTGGACAAACTGGCGCTCTGGGAAAAGACATGGAAGATGGCCTTCCACTCGAGCAAGTGTAATGTGTTGTCTGTGAACAAGGAGAAAACCTCCATTATCAATAATTACATCCTCCATGGGCATACGCTAGAACACGTAGACCAAGCAAAATACCTGGGTGTTACAATCCAATCTAACTTAAAATGGGACTCCAACATAAATAATATTACCAACAAAGCAAATTCCTCACTTGGCTTCCTCCGTCGAAACTTAAAAATAGGTCCAACATCAGTTAAGGCACAGGCATACAAATCATTAGTCCGCCCATCCTTAGAGCATGCCTGTCCTGTTTGGGACCCATACACCCAGGATAACATCAATAAGATTGAAATGGTAGAATGCACGGCTGCTCGTTACGTACTAAACAAAAACGTCTACACTCATAGAACATCCAGTGTCTCCAATATGTTGAACCATCTTAAATTGCGATCCCTTGCCGACAGACGCAGAGACACAAGCCTATGTATGATGTTCAAAATTGTGAACAATCAGGTAGCTATTAGAAAACACACTAGACTTATATACCAGCAACCAGGAAATCGAGGCATGCCCATCACCAATCCTTCCAAATACCACAATGAAGAACCCAGGTCAGAAAACAATCCTTCTTTCCCCGATCAATATATGAGTGGAATAAGATCCCACCAGATATCATTTCCTCCTGTTCTACTACTGAATCTTTTAAATCTGCTCTCCTGTCACTGTACCCTCAAAATTAAATCTATATACATGTATATATAATTTTGGCTATCTTAGAATCGACTCAAACTATTTCTCCCTCATGACATTATCTTCAACTTGTTGAAGTTGGTCATTACTATTTAGAAGTTAAAAGTAGAAGGTCCTAGGGCCGAGGTTACCTTATTTAGGTAGTACGATTGTCTTTCATGCCTATCGATTGTACATATGATCATGAGCTATAGGGATTTTCATCAAATTAACCACAGGGGTTCGTTACAAATGTCTGAAATACACATATGCTTTACTGATACGGGTCACATCACACATAAACATCTGAAATACACGTGCTTTACTGATACGGGTCACATCACACATAAGGTGACAGTACCCAAATCGGATCATCAATCCATCATAGTATTCATTCGCTGAAAGTTCTGAAGATGAACTATATTCATGTACGGTTGTATCAAAGGACGAATATCGATGGGTGTTCTTACAAACGAAATTAGCTCATGGGGATTATTTGAGATATTTACAGAACGCTCTGAAGTCAGCAATTAGCGTTTCCCTTTTTTTGGCGAAAGTCAGGACCCAAACCGGATCAAGAGTTAACTTTTGCAGTATCTTACACTTCAAATGAATATTTTTTTGTCAGCATATTAACATTTTATGATGAAATTTGGAATTTATATGAAAAAAGTATTGCTATAGGGTTAACTAATTCCTATAATCCAAAACAGAATGCAATTTTGTAAAAACGTAAACAAAACACGGACTTTTGAGTTTGAATTACGTTTTCTGGTGCTATTTGAACTTAAAAACTATCCATCTGAATCTCAAAACGATCTAAACAGCCCTTCCGAAAATGATTGAGTTGGTCTTATTTCTATGAGAGTTTTTTCGTGATGATAAAAAGTCACTTCCTATCTGTCAAAACAGATGTATGTATATGTAAACTCATTTTACATCATTTTGAAATTATTGAAAGACCTAGGGCAGCCTTTGACAAAAACCTTGAGCGGACAAGACGAAATCGAGACAGTAAGGCAGCGGAATTCTGTTAAAGTCCTGACATGTCGTACATTATTCTTTTAACTGATAATTCAGCGAATTGTAAATGTGATGTCGGATGTATTTTGTTTTTTTATAACATTAATGGTCCATCTCCTCTTGGCGGCAATATTGTAACATGACTGATGGGTGCCCCTAACCCCGCCCACCCCTCCCCCATCGCTTATGTCCCCTCTCAGTCTATATAAGATGACCATATTGAGTGAAAGTGCATGCCACAAACCCCACCAAAATATAATACTACACGCTGAAATTTCTTGACATTTATTTTATAAATAAAATTGTATTTAAGTCACAGAAAAAAACTCTTATAAACACACAATTATAAAGAGGTATGGAGGTGGTATGTAAATACTAGAAAAAGAAAGAAAAAAAATGAAAAAACAAACAAACGGAAATGTATAAAACTTCAAATCCGATGATGAATATGAGTTAATGAATAACGCCATCTTAACAGCCTCTTTATTACTGAGTCGTCATATTGAAATATCGATATTAATATTATGTGATGGAGTAAATAAATATCCGAAAATTCAAAGGTATCACAAGTGGTATAAACAAATAAACAAATATCCAGCATGGTATAACTTAACTTTACAGGAGAAGACATTTAAGGATCCCTGTCCCACTACACTGTCGTTTTTCGTATGGACGGTAACTTCCCCTTAGTTTCGTCTTGGATAAAGTTGTAGGCCAAGCAAATTTGGGTGAGGATGATTCCGTTAACGAGGGACCTAAATCGATTAAAGCGATACAATCACAATACGAAGTCCGGGGTTCGAATCAAGGTCGTTTCCCGCTGTAAATTTACACTCAAAACACGGTGCTAATGATATTTGTTTTTCTCTCTTTATCATATTTAATAAAGATATAGTTCCCTTTTTAGAAATAATTTAACGACGCTATAGTCATGCCGAAAAATTATGTTTCTGATGCATTGTTACATTTTTCTGTACAGTGGTATGGGGATCCTTAAAATTCAAACGTTGTTAAAAAACACACACATCTGTAATCTTCCGGGCACCTTAATCCAAATCCTGCATTACTGATGTACTTACCAATACAATGACAGATCTAAACCATTCTTAGCTACCAAGGCCTGTATACACAAATCCGTCCTCATGCTCAAGCATGGATTCTGTGTTCAAACCATCTTTTTATAAGTCACTTAATTTGTGTGACGCAATCAAAATGTTAATTGTAAACAAGAAATGGGGTTTGAGAATATGAGTTTTAGCATGAAAACGAATCCAGATAAACCTACCATCGGAATCACAGCGATATAGCTTTGACCAACGATGGATTTTGGGGTCATATCAAAGATCCTGATGTGTTTACATGATATGGGCGTGACAATTTGAAAAGCGATGTTAGCGGTGTATAGGCGTGATAATTTATGCGAGTGACAATGTTTAGAGTATATGGGCGTGGCAAAGTTTATTGGCTATAGTCGTGGCAATGTTTACTGAAAGTGGGCTTGGCAAGGTTTAAAGGATATAGGCGTGGAAATGTTTAAAGGATATAGGCGTGGAAATGTTTACAGGATATAGGCGTGGCAATGTTTACAGGATATAGGCGTGGAAATGTTTACAGGATATAGCCATGGCAATGTTTACAGGATATAGGAATGGACACTATGTGCAGATAATAGACTTGCACGTTCACATTTTCCGATGTGTGGCAAATTTAACAGTGTATGAGCGTATCAATGTTTACCAGAAGTGGGTGTGACAAAGTTTACAGGATATAGGCGTGGCAGCGTTTACAGGATATAGGGGTTGCAATGTTTACATGATATATGCGTGGCGATGTTTACAGGATAAAGCCGTGGCAATGTTTACAGGATACAGGCGTGATAAAGTTTACAGTGAATGAGCGTTACAATGCTTACACATTATCGCGTTAATTAGTTTGATTGTAGGTGCTTCATTAAATTAATTGATATTGCAGGAAACAACAGTTCATTGGTTATAAATGTGATTTCAATGCACAAACACGTGATGTGACGTGGGTACAACAAAAAACCTACTTTAAGCAAATTGACTCAATTTCCATTTGGGATAAATATCTCAATGTAAGCGTTTACATGGAGCCTTTCGAAGCACTGTTCACACAAATTGCTTAAACAATTGATCAATTGACCTCTTTCATTCTACGTTTAAAATAGACGATTTAATACACACATCCGGCAATCAGACACACTACTCATTTATCAATAAATAAAACATTCACATATATCTTATTTAGTGTTGATATCGATAACAGTACTCACGTACCTCGACTAAACATAACAACATGGTCACTTGCTCAAGAGCATGCTTAGGTGTTTCCGTGAAACGGTTCATACATTCCAACAACATTTTCAGATCTTCTCTCCTTGACCCTGTTTATAAGTGAATTAATTCATACAAATGCAGGCCCGTATTTTTCTCATTTTAACAATCGTGCGCATGCGCGGTTGAACACACCCATATACGCACTTCCGCGTACACTGTCTCCATGGCAACCATACTAGGCATCAAGACACAGCGTAACGAAGATACGAATACCAAGAACTAAATCAAGGCTGTACGCTACCTTACTGTAGCAAGTACCTCCCCCCAAAAGTGTTCCACACTAAACTCATTGTTATTGATATAAGGTGTTTGGACTTAATATTAAGTATCCTCGCACCACTGCCAAAAGTTGTAAATATACAAAATATACACTAGAAACTAACTTGCAGTATGTCTTTAGTTTTGATAAACGACTTCCGAAAAGAAACCCATACCTTGCAGGGAACTTTCCACGAATGATATAAAAACGAACTCCTGACGGTAGCTCTAGCCAACTGAGCAACATGGTCACACAGTAGTCATCTTCTAGCCCCGTCAAATCCTAAACAAAATTAAGGGGAGATAAGTCAAGATCAGAAAAAAACCCAGCTGTAGAGTAATTTTCTAGCGTTTTGCTGTGGTAGGACAAAGATTCTTAAAAGCTGACAGATTGCAAATCCATGCAAAAAAGGTGCATGCATTGATACAAACACAAAAGTATGAGATCAATGTCAATAAATAACAGGGGAGATCAATCTAACACAACTCATTGCTGAGCTGGTACAATGCGCAAGATAACATTTGTATCATTACATTGTAAGACTTGTTTTACCTGTAAATGAGTGAAGTGAATATCAAGCTGAAGATTGGAGCTTTTAAAACTGTTTGATGTTGTTTGATTTGAACCAAACAGAACACTTGAGGAGTTATCGATCATGGCGTTGCATGCGGTCCTGACGCCAATAATTAAAAAACTAAGCTACAAGACATACGGTATCAGCAACTTATCACGTTCCATGTTCTGAACAAGACAATCCAATTAGGACTAGAATCATACCAGCACTATATACCCATGCTCATAAAAGTTTCTCAATGGCCACCCGAGCATCAGAAAGCCAGTACACGCCCGGACTAGATTCGTTTAGCACTAGGGAGAAGACGTTTATGCCGGCTATACATAAGGACGGTGGTATACGGAAAACCTCTTCCACAAACTCCAGTGAGTTAGCACCCTGGTATCCAAGTAAAAATGGCTGCCCGTTCACGTACATGTCTACAACACCCTGGCAGTTGGTGGCACAATGGTTTAGGCCGACATTCACTGCAGTGAGCTCAAAGCTGCCATCACAACTCAGGTGGAAGACTATCTCTCCTTTGCTTTTGCCAGGATAATGGAAAACTTTGTATGGACGGCACTTCCGGTATTGGTCTAGAGTCATCACTTTTGTGAACTCCACATTTTCGTAAATGTTGTTGAAATCAAACGTTTGAAGGACTTCGATTTCTTGTTTCCGTACTGAAAATGTATAAAACAAAAATAAAACAATGTTTTTATTATGCTTAAAACAAAGTAATTAAACACACATATATTGTTCTGTAAGAAAAGAGAATAACATTGTGAAATTTTGTTCAAATAAAAAGAATGAAAATATTTTTTGAACAAACCTTGTGCTATTACTTCCGGTCCCTCTAATCGGACTCTTTTGTGTCCCTGCGAAACGATGTCCTCTTCAAGAGAACGTCGTTTCCGCCCTTCCATCATGGTGCTGGGCGGCTCCTGTGTGGGAACAACAAGAGGAAGTAAGTTTGTGTCATCGAGCTGCGTGTAGCGGAGATGCCACACCAGTACCATAGCTTACGTAGTGACGTCGAATAAAACTGACAAAATTAAAATGACGGTTGTGTGCTTCTTTATATTCCGGAATGTTTCCAGCTATATAAACATGCGCTGAACCAAACTTATAATGACACACGACTGAGACGGTTTTCCAAACCGCGGATGTAAGAAACATGTGCATTATACCGGAAGTGACTTCCGTTGAAATACTGCTACATACAATAACATGGACTCGGTCAATTCCGGAAACAAGCTAACTGACTTACCAAGGTTTCACGTATGAGTATCAATCGACACGCGGCTGATTTATTAACTCTGAAATTACAAATAGGCAATAGGATAACAATGCAACATACTTCGCCCACTGTCACGTGACGGTCGGTTCCGAATGGTTCTGGAAACCAACAACTTTTTATTGGACATTACAATTAAACCACTCAAGCAGTCGCTATTGTATGGATCCCGCTACGAACCACAACTATTCATCCCTGCATGCTCGTATCTCTAACTATAACAAATGACGTTGTATTTCCTCAGCGGCACAATCTATTTAGAAACAATGAGCTGAGATATTTAGGGAGGGCTATCTTCTACTTTAGAATGAACAAACCAACACAATACCGTCATATGTTTGTGTGTTCATAAAAATATCCTTCTACTATACACGGCTACTTAAACTGAGTATATAGATTGATACTACAATTACTTGTTCCGGACAACAGAACCATCCCAGGAAAGTGTATTAGTAAACTCTTTATCAACTCCGGACAGTTAATGACCTTGTGTAGATAACGAACGCTCGATCCTTATATATCTAAGGTGTCTTATGAAAAGAGGGGAGGTGGATGTCAAGGGCAGGGAAGGGTCAAACTGGCAGCCCCAACCCCATAGCACATTTTCCAATATAGTATGTCAGCCAGTGACCTCATGAATTTTCAAAGATATTTATGCATATCTCAATATTGCAGACGTGGACGTGTTGGTGTAAGGTTGAAATATGGGGTTATTGAAACAAAGCAACTAATTGCGAACATGATGCAATCATGCATACTCCCCCGCTTCCTGACAATACTGCAGTATGGCAATGTTTATTGAATCATTTCGTAACATTTCTTATTCCGAATATTTTTTCCGGATGAGCGAGGTTTCGGATATTTACTATGTTTAACTTGCTTACGTTTTGATTAACAGGTGCTCGGTGAATGTGTGGGGTTTAAATCCCAGGTATTTTACCGATAATGTAAACAGGGCGGCTCAATGTGTATAACATAATGCAGGTACAAATATTGATTTAAGTGGAAAACCCTGTCACTCATAATTGAAAAAAAGGTAATATTAAATTTGCCGAGGTCAATTTATGGAATGGCAGTTTTTTTATCACGTGCGCCGTGAATTTTTAAAGAATGTGCTCCACTCTAAAATTATTTGGTGCAAGACTTTCCAAACAAAAAATACTATTTACACGTATACTTTGACCATATATATAGGTGTCGCTATTTGAATGTCATTTCCTAGGTATTGAAATACGTCAAGTTCTTCTTAATATACCTCGACATTCTGTTCACGAGAAAAGAAATACCACTGCTTAATAATTTACCTTGACGCACGCATGTTTTCTTCCCTCTCCAATTACGTACTTCGCCTACGCAGGCCTGATACTTACTTTATGGTGGAAAGAGATTTTTGTTTACATTATTATTAGGGTTTTTTTAACGTGAGCGGTCAACTATGCACACATGCTGTATTCATAAGCAATTTCAACAGATCTTCGATAGGGGAGGTCACAGGGACTTGAGAATTGAAGACACAGAATCATTAATTTTAAGGAATTTTTCTTGCGTGCAGGGTATTACAAATACGTACTAGGCGTTTAAGAGGTTAAGATAAGCACACGATAAAATTGACACCCCCCGTATTGTGTATACATGTATATACATTTTGTAAGGCGTTGATCTTAACCTCCAAAACATTAAGTTATACTTTCTACATAACAGAAACTGTATAAGGGTACATGGCGATATTGTGGCGTAGTTATCAGGTCCCTGTGACTGGGCCAATCCAAGCTCTATTAATACAGTGAGTTTATATGTATATTTGACAGTTCACATTCTCAAATTAACAATAAAATATTTTATTCCACAGTTTTCAATTACAAGTAGCGTCATGCACATACTGATATTTTTTTAAAGATCGATACAGTTAGACATGCACTCGAATGCAATGAGTCTCATTGTTAAGACCATTGTTAGCCATAGCTTCGAGTTGAGATTAGCTAATCAATTATTCTATTTTTCACGATACCAAACACAAAACGATAACGATTTACGCTAATAAAGGATAAAATAACATGCTGAATTCATCAGATATATTACAACATTGTATCAATATTCCAATACTTCAATACTTGCCTTTACATGTCAGCATGCCTTGCAGCGCGCCGCCATATTTGTTTGAAACGCTCCAGTTCTCATCGATCGATTTAAAGCTCTAAGCTTGATCCGACCCTTAAATGCGGGTGGGTATACTGTTTGGTTATATATACTGTACACCTTATAAAAGCAAAGCCATGACCTACACAAACCTTTAATACACATCTGAATGTACATGTATACATGGCGGTTTATGAGCATACCTCGGCCAGTGATTAATAACTACATGGATTTATTTGTGTACGACGTAGCGAGCTTAATCTATACCAAATACACATATAAACACGTGTTCAAGCCCCCTTTTCATCAATATTATTGCAGTAGTTCCGAAGAAGATAATTATTTTCGGTATTAGGTCTATTATTTGTGTTCAGATTGTGGTCAGCTTTCGGGGTTCGATGAAAGGATGCTTAAAAATTGTCTTAGAATTCGTCGAGTATAGCCATGTAAAAATGGCTTAGTGAGACACTATACCGATTAATGGAATAAAAGACGTCATCTAACGTTTTTTTACATTGGCGTTTTTTCGTCATTTCGATTCGAAGGTTGTCGTCTGTTCGGGAGCGATAACGGGTAAAAATGAAATGCCACATATGTAAATACCACCATGCAATACACATCGATTTGTTGACTTCATTTTTCAACGTCGAATAAAAGTAATACACATTAAAAAAGGTAGGGTCAAACATTATTCGATATTTTGTCTTGTTGACGTGAATATGTCATCCGCCATTTATCTCTGTTTGCATCCAACATCTAGGCAAGAAATGCGGTTCTGTCGTGTGTCACAGCAAAATGAATCCCTACCAATGGTACATTCGCATATCGAACCAGAATTCACAATTGCTTTATTAGCCCACTCACCTTGGATGATTTGTAGCAGTTTACCGAGATGTTGCAGTTGGCATAGTAATACGATTTCAACGAAATACATATTAATTCTACTGTACAAGTAACTGTAACTAAGAGTTGGAATCTGTTTTTCCGGCATGACTATAGTTTTGGTAAATAATTTCTGACTTTACGGGACTAAGTATACACATGAGAAATAATAAGGCTAGACCTGGATTCGAACCCCGGACTTCAGATTGTTATGCTATCGCTATGACTGATTGAGGTACCTGGTCATCGAAAGTGTATCCAAGCCAAAATTCGGGGGAAGTTACTGTCTCACGACGTCGTTATATTAGCTGAAACTAAAACTGACGATCTGGACATTCTTAAAATGCCAAACGGCTATGATTATGTAGCTAAAAACAGACCTAACACAAAAAAAAAAATCTGGCGGAATAATTACAATATTTAAAGAAAAGTATAAATCATTACTTCTATTTCCAAAAACTCCATCCGAGTTCGTCCAGTGGGTAGAGGTACGTGCAAGTAATAACATACCCACTCTATTAGTGGGCTGTGTGTATGTACCCCCCGAAACGTCCAGGTATGCTTCTAATGAAGCATTTTTAGAGATTCAGGGCGAAATGATTAATTTAATTAAAAATGACAAAAAAGTTATACTTATCGGAGATTTTAATGCCAGAACTAATACTTGTGACGATTATATCGTTCCAGATGAACATTTAATTGAAACATTGAATATACATGAAAATGACGATTTGCATGAGTATTTATATGATTACGAAGAGTTAACCCGTTTTGGGGTACCGCTTCAAAGAACGAGTCAAGACCTAGCAAGACCAAATACATTTGGTCGTAATCTGCTTGATTTTTGTAAAAATAATAATTTATACATTGCAAACGGTAGAGTCGGC